AATTGTCGATATTTTTTTTGATTAAAAGAAAACTGGTTTAGTGTCATCAAGATTTTTAAGATCTTGGATTTGTTAGTTTTATTTTATTTGAAGCAAGAGTTATTGTAATAAGACTACTTGAAAGTGATATTTGCCAAAAGAAAAAGAAAAAGAAAAGAAAAAAAAATAGGTGAAAAGCGGAAAACAAAAAAAAATATTCCCCGACAATATCACATTAGTCTTTCTTTCAAACTAACCCGCGGACACATTTTGTGGCCTAGGCCCTTGTTTTGTTTGGCCACCTCACCCATTGTTAGCCCTACCTGAAGATCCCAACAAGAAGGAAAGAATAAAATTAAATCCCTAAACTACCCACTACCTAAAGATCCCAACAAGAACTCTCAAATTCTATCATTGATTCACTTTGCAATTAAAGTAAAGGGAAAGGTTTCTATCCTTTCCCTACAGCATAGAAGTTTTGTCCTCCCTCTACTTCACTCTGCGATTAAAAAGAAGGGAAAGGTTTCTATGCTTTCCCTACAACATAGAAGTTTTATCCTCCCCCTACCATCCAGCCGTCCAATTTTGATCAAGAAAGCTACTCACCGTTTGATCTTAGATCCGACGTCTCAAAGTATTTTATTTTTATTTTATTTTATACAAATTGTATTCATATGAAATTGGTACGTGTCATATTCTCATTGGGGTGAACCTATAAAAAATATTAAAAATAATTTTTTGATAAAATATAAGGACTAAAATACCCCTTGAAATTTTCAAGAGTATTTTGGTCATTTTATTTTATTGAAAATATTTTTTATATATTTTTTGCTAGTGTGAGTTCAATAGAGGAATGTACGTACAAAATTAGGTGTCAAAATAGTTTATAAAAAAAATTAAAAATAAAATAGTGTAGAGACGTGACATTGTGATTGGGGCAATGTTTGCCCTCCATTCAGATTGGACGGTTGGATAAGGGGGAGGATAGAACTTCTATGTTATAGGGGAAGCATAGAAAGTTTGCCCTAAAAAGAAACTTACCGTGCAGGAGAAGGTAGATTGCAGAATGAGGAGGCCAATTTGAGCAAAAAGAAAAAAATAATCACAAAGACATGATGGATTGCAGTAAGTTGAATTCGTGTGAGTTGTCATGGGTGTTAATTCTTTGTGGTCTTGTCCTTCAGTGTTGCTCGTTGTGCTATTATCCTTCAGTATCAAAACTCAATGGGTCTCAAATCAACTTTTTGAAGATTTCAATAGACCAGAGAAAATGTCATAGCAATGAGCAAAGCAAAACTTAAGAGGAGTCACAGGCAAAACCAGGGTCCTTGAACAATGTGATCTCAGTCTGTCGTGACACTTCGAACGTATATATAGTTTTCAAATGGGAAAAACTGATTTTCCGCTTCGGTGGTCTTGAATCACAACTAAGGTTTTTGGCCCTCAACTTAGTCACAATAATCTACATGACCACATAAAATAAGTGGCCATAAGGTCAACAGTGTCCAATCTAGTAGTGGACATATTGATAACCCTTTGGACCTCATATTATATGGGATTGTATACAATGAGACCATTTATTTTTTATATGGTCATAATACTTACAACCATCTGATGTAAAATTTGATAGCTTAAGTGTCACAAAGTTAAAAAAAATTGCTTTCGAAGTTTGAGCTTGTGCAATGGAATAAATGCAACCATCAAATTTCACATCCAATGATAATGATCCATTGTAACTACCTTGTACAAAAAATGTTTGCATCCATTCTTGGGTGTATTGTTAAAATTTAAAACACAGATCCACAAGATATCTATTATTAGTAACTTTTTTTAAAATATTTTAATATAAGAGGTACATTTTTCAACCACAAATAAAAGCTACATTTATAAAAAGGAAATTGAATGTCACCTGTACTTTTTCATCAGATAATTTAGAAGTACTCTGATGAAAATTGGAATATATCATAAGTTTTTTATAAAAATTTTACCAATATATTCAGTTTCATGGAATACCATTCTTTTGCTTTGGTTTAGAGTCTGCAGCTGAAGATTTCGCAATGCAAATATTATAACATTGCCTACAAGTTGATGGTCATTTGAGTTTTGAAAGTAAAGCCCGAAAGAAAAAATGAATGTCTTCAAGTAATTTTTTGAAAATAAGAGGTGTTTGTAAAGCAATGGACTTGGCAACTGATATTATACAACAAGATTAGAGAACAGGGATGTGGAAGTAAACGCATTACAAGCAGGGTGCAGATAGCATACAGTCACATCAACAAGCCATGTTGAAGCCTCTACCCAAGAGGCACCCGAGAACATTGTAAGCACAAATTGATACATATCATCTTAATTCACATAAATCAATAATTCCACAGCCACACCTTACTAACAAAATACAATTATGGAGACAAAGCATTTTTGCAACAAACACTGCTCTACCCCCAAAAGAATGCATTTCACAAACTTCCACCCCGCTTCCCCCCACATTCACCCCTCTAATTTCACAATCATATAACCTACACATTTGAAAACACTATCAGTAAGCTACTCACAAAAGAAGGCAAACCCAAAAGCCACAATGCTACAAAAGCCTGTCCATCTTATCAGCAGTTTGAATCACTTCGCACGGTCCCCGACAGCCGCGAAAGGGCATTCATTCCTGATCTCAACACCCATCTTGTTTGTTCGTGATCACTTTCTCTATACCAGGAAACGAGATCTGAGGGATGTATTAGTAATTTTCTCGAGCAAAGATTTGAGCAGCAGGGAATTGGTAATTATCCCACCCCATAAGGGAGAAAGAAGCCAGAAATAGCCACCCCATATCAGTAGACAAAATTAGATGAGCCTATGTTGCCGTAATCTCTTGGCCATGTGTGGCTGCATGAGCCTCACATACAACCCATTGGCTGCCATAAGCAAGTCGTGGGTCCCCTGCTCAACAATGCGCCCTGCATTCAAGACCACGATGCTATCAACATGTCGCATCATTGCAGCACGGTGCGCAATCAAAACCGTGGTTTTGTTTCCCATGACCAATGTATCAAGGGCCTCTTGCACAACCCTACTTGACTCTGACTCGATGGCCGAGCTTGCCTCGTCCACAAGCAATATTGGAGCATTCTTCAGCACAACTCGTGCAATTGCAATCCTCTGCCTTTGCCCTGGCGTCAATTCAACCCCACCACGCACGACCCCAACAGGCGTATCATAACCATGAGGCAAGCTACTTATAAAGTGGTGGGCATTTGCTATTCTCGCTGCCTCCTTCACTTCAGCTTCACTTGCATTATGCCGGGCATAAAGGATGTTTTCTTTTATGGTTGTTGAGAACATAACTGGCTCTTGTTGAACCAATCCTAAATGGCTCCTGAGCCATCTTACATTGAAGAGCGTGAGATCCCTACCATCTAATAAAACTTGCCCTGCTGTTGGGTCGTAAAATCTTTCAATTAAGGCTATAATGGTGCTTTTCCCGGACCCGGACGCCCCGACTATGGCTACAGTTTGGCCACCGCTGACTTTGAGGCTGAAGTTGCTAAGCACCATTACTTCAGGCCTTGTTGGGTAGCAGAAGTCAATGTTTTTGAGTTCAAGGCTTCCATATACATTGGGAGGTTTCAACCCACTACTGTCATCAGGGTCGATTTTGGGTACTCGGTCTATGATTTCAAAGACTGATGTGAGAGATTTGCGACGCTTGAGAATGTACGGTGCAAGCCCAAATGGCTCGACTAATGCAAATGTTGCAAAAGAGAAGACCATGTATTCTTTGAGAGCTGTGGAGAGAGTAGCATGGTCTTTTTTTATGGTGAGGGCAGTGTAATAGAGGAGGAGGGCATTGCATGCAAAGAGGAGGAACTGGGAGAAACCAAAACCAAACCCGATGGCCATGCCATGAAGGAAGCTCATAGTGAATATCTTGGTTAACTGTAGCCTGTAGAGCTCCATGACCTTGTTGCCCGCACAAAAAGAAACTACAGTGTAGATGTTTCGGACTGCATCCTCGAGGACCAGAGATGCCTTCCTATGCATCTCCTGTATGCCTCTTGAGAAGCCAGCAAGCCACATTTTCTGCACAAGCAAGTCCAACAGTATTTTCAATTTTCTTTCTTTCAGATAAGTTCCCTTTAGGTAAACATCATTCTTCTTTCAGATTCAAAAGTATATTGACTGCAAATTTCCAATAGTAGAAACGCAACAATTTTAGCTGAAAAGGAAAGTATAAATAGAAATGCATAATGAGAACATATGCTGAGGTGTTTGTTAAAAGAGTTAAAACAGTCAAACAGTTAAAGCTGCATTCATATTCTTAGACTCTTTTTTTTTTTAATATGTAAACTGCTCTATTTATAAGAAACATTCTATTCTCAGACTTAGCTTTTTATATGGGGCTTATTCCCTAACATTCAGAAAAAACATGGAAATGGGTTAAAAATTTTCCACATTTTATTGATGCTGTCAAAGTGTGCAAGGGTGGCTAGTGAAAATTCCAGCTGCGTAACAAAAACCAGTTGCTTACCTACTACCCACTTGATTGGGCTGCATGCCCGGATGCCAGAATGTTTACAACAGGACATTGTGTCTTCCACAATTCCTCATAATTTCCTAGAGGAACAAGATTTCATTGGAAAGAGTCAGGTTGACTGATGGTATTAGAGCTCAAAAGTGCACAGATCAAGCATTTACATTTCATCAATAATGAGGATGCTCTTATATTTGTGGAACTGACACTCATCCGGTGGAGAACCTTAAAATTATCATTAGATGGTTTGAACTTCGAAATAGCATAGGACCATATGAAGATCCTCAATAAGAATTGAGTTAAATGACTGGAGTTTTGAGTCCGCTTTTCAAATGGAATTCAGGAAGTTGGATTCAAGGTGGAGAGCTACCCCATATCCTAATTCAGGTCTTTCCCACTTCTTTTTTTCGGTTGGGAAGGGGGGGGGGGGTTAGAATGGCAGCCGACAGCTCTGTACAAAAAATAAAGTCGAGAACAAAAACAATGCTATACAGCCAAAAATGTGATAAGGCAGCAATACTCTAACAAATAGGACCCCTTCAGGGCCGAAGGCTGAAAAAGATGATGCAATGGTACCCATTGCAATGCCTGAAAGTGCTCCATTCTTATCAAGGACGTCAACTTCCGAATGCACCTCGAGTCACATATGGCACTAGTAGAGATGTGTATAGGCCTGCAGTCGTCAAAAATTTTGTCGAAGATATGATCAAGCCTCCACGGGCACAGTGAGCCTCTTGTAGCCCAAGAATGACGTTCTTCGAATCCCCATTAATGACCAAAATGGGACTTCAATTCGGTTACAGCATTAAGGCACTCGGGGAGGGCGAGGACCTCCGCCCTTGTGGAATCTGCTTGACCCATGGGTTTCAAGAAGGAAGAGAGGGTGTACCATCCTTGTCTCTGACGATCCGCCAATGCCAACAGGGCCGGGATTGCTGCGGGAGCAACCATCAAATTTGAGTTTGGTTTGGCCTTGCTCTTATGGTTTCCAAAGAGAGGCTTGTGGAATCTATAGGGGCCTTAGGTGTCGCATAGCCTGACAGTCTTGGAAGAAGTCCGTGTAGGAGTGGTACCTGAAGCGTTGCCCAAAAGATAACCACTGCACTGATCCGGTCAGTTAAGGCACTGGTGGTAGACTCCTTACCTTGGAAGATCCTCTGATTCCCTTCAGTCCAATCCACCCACGGAGTAGTTTTTACAGTAGCAGGATAAAGAAAGACTCCCGATTTAAGTCAGGGAGGGGATTGAGAGCAAGGATGACATGTGGGACTGATTTGGGAGTCACCCATGTCCAAATGAAGAGCTGCAGCAAGTTCTCCCACATGGCAAATGCCATGTTGCAGTGAATGAAGAGATGTTCATTAGTTTCTTCTGCTGATTTACAGATGGCTCACCTGTTGGGAACCGGCAAGCCCCTTTTCTGACGCTGGTCAACCGTCAAGGCCCTCTCAAATACAGCAATCCAGCTCAAATATTGGATCCGTTGTGGAGGGTTGGGGGGGGGAAGGCGGATGGAAGTGAAGGGGAGAGGGGGAAAGTAGTGCTCCTAATGCTCCATTTGCATTAGTTCCTCCCTTCTTACTTGGGAGGAAAGGGACTCAATGTCAGAAAGCTCCCGATCCAAGAAAGGTCTTCTGAAGTTTGGGTTCCAAATCCTTGCATTGCTTTGAATTCATTGGCTGTAGTCTATCAATCCAGTACCAGGAGGAACAAACCATGGAAGCTCTTGTAGGGTGGAGTTCCCTAACCAAAAATGTCAGTCCAAAATTTAAATCTATTGCTTGCCCTGGGCCAAAACCCTTTTTTTTTTTTTGAAGAATGTTAACTAGGGCGGGCCAAAAGCCTAATGTTATCACTGAAAGGGTGGCAGATGGCCAAGTACCAGAGGAAAGACTGTTAGCAGTACCTCTCGGTAGCCAGGCTGATACCTCACAATGGAATTTGCGAAGTGCCACCACCACTTGCTGAGGAGGGCCAAGTTGTATCTTCCAAGGCTATGGATGCCTAGGCCCCCGTCCGGTTTGGGTAGGCCCCTCATCGGACCACAGAAAATTCTTCATTAGACGTTCAAGGCAGGCCACTATGGTGGATGGCCTTTGAAAAAGTGATATCTGGTGTACGGGGACATTCGTCTATGAGATTGATTATGCCCGCCAATTAGAGGAACCTGCCTTTCCAAGCCGCAAGTTTACGATCGAGTTTTTTGATGACAAGGTCCCAATGCTACAGCTTTGATTTGATGATGCACAGGAGAAAGCCCAGGTATTTGGAGGGCAGCTGTTAGACTCCACAGCCCAAATGCCCAGCAAGGTCGTGGACTACTTGGACCTTGGTTGCAACACCCATCATCTTTGGTTTTTCCATGTAGACACTTGGGCCAATACCAAGTTAAAAACATTTGGGATAGAGGAGCAAGGTATCAACCTTTTGATGGGTGGCATCACAAAAGAGGAGGATGTCATCAACATATTGGAGATGGAAGATTTGAGGGCCTTGGTTGCCGATGCTAAAACCTTTGAAGAGCCCTTGTTAGTACAGCTATAACCTCTCAATGGATCTACTGAAGACTTCAGCTACGACAGCAAACAAGAAGGGCCAAAGGGGCTCACCTTGCCTTAAGCCTCTTGCTGAGGGAAGAAGCCTTTGGAGGAGCCATTTATAAGGCTAGGCCCTCCAACAGTCTCCAAATCCCATCCTAAGGAGGATCTCGTCCAGGATAGCCCAATCAACGCACTCGAAGGCCTTCTCCCAAGGAAATTTGAACACTACCCCTGGAATTTTGGAGAGGTGCCTGGAGTGGACGCATTCATGGGCTACTAAAGCCCCATTTAATATTTGGCGGTCCTTGACAAATGCACCTTGTTCCAGGAAATTACTTACCCAAGCAAGAAATTTTCCACCGTGGGAGAGAAGATTTTGTGGGAACTGTTCAGCAGGCTCACGGGCCTAGAGTCTTTGTCTCTTCAAGGTCTGCAGCCCCTTCCACTTTGGGGATCAGGGCAGTGAAAGTTGTGTTCATGGCCTTATTGATATTACCTCAGTTGTGGAATTCATGGAAGACTGTCGTGGAATTCATGGAAGAAAGAGATGATATCAGGTCCTATAGAATCCCAAAAAATATTAAACAAAGCCACAGGGTAACCATCAGAAACTGGGGCCTCTATCTTGGCCAAGGTCCTGGATGGCTCTGATAAACTCTTCAGCAGAAGAGGGGCCTTCCAACCGTGCCACCTTATTAATGGGGATGGACAGGAATGAGAGGTCAGCCATCCTCGACCTAGGACCAGATGGGGCCAAGAAGGGAGTCTGGAAGAAACCCAAGGTGGCATTTTCCAAGCAAGAGGTTGGTCGTAGAGGTGTGACCCCACTTTGACCTGGATGACGTGTCTTGCCTTCTAAAGTTGGTTATTTTATGCAAAAAAATGGTTTTAAGGTCCCCACATTTCAACCATTTGATCCTGGAACTTTAAAACCAATGGATCTCTTTTTTCTGAGGATCTGCTGGTATTGGAGCTTAGCTCGGGTTCTCTGGTTTCTCTCCTCTAGGTTCAAAGTTATGCTTTCTTCAATAACGTCCAAGTTGTCTATGGTTTGTAGTAGAGTCTTTTCGAATTTGGAAGTTCCCAGGAAGCTTTCTACTCCAGTTTTTTTAGGGAAATTTGAGGAGTTGAAGAGTTGAAGTTTTTTCTGGAACCTTAACCTAGCTCATTCTTGAACAATAGATGAGAAAGACTCCACGTATCCACCATTCGGGAACCATGGAGAGGAAGTTTGGAAGTTTGGTTCTTCTGGCCAGGATAGCTCAAATGCGAAAGGTTTAGGCCCTCCCAAAGCTCACAGTTCAGATCCTCCCGGAGAGATTAGCATGAATCGAAAAGGTTTAGCCTCTCAGAGAGTATAGCAAATTGATCAAGCCAATTTCTTTCTTTTGCTGATAGCTCAGATCCTTCCTTGGGAAGAATTCAATTTACTTTTTGAATTGGAGATCTCAGAGAAGCTGGAAAGAATGATATGTAATCGTTCGTGGCAAGTATTAGTGATGATCATGAGTTCCAACTTGGTAAAATGGGACACCATCTGTAGATCCAGAGAAGTGAGTATTTTGGGTGTTAAGAGGCTCATGTGTCGTACCTAAAGCGCTTTAGGAGAAACTGCTCTGGCGACCAGTGCTGGAGTATTAGTCTTTGATCTAGGTTAATCTCTAGCAATTTATGGACAGATCGAATCAGTGGCAAATTAGGGATTCAAGGATGTCACTTAGGAACTCATTTGGAAACTTATCCCACATCTCCTCCTAAATCAGGTCACTGAGTGACAATAAAGGCACATCCAATTCTATCAGTAATGCTTCCAGTGTGATTCAGCAACAAGTTAAAAGTCATTGACTGAAAATGCATTAACCAATCCTAAGTTCTTCACAAAGTTTCTTGCATAATATGACACATTAAATAGACTGTTTAAGTAGAACAGAAAGTGAAAAGAGGTTTAGCTCAATTGACCCACACATATACCCATATAACTAAAAAAATTAAGATCTTATTTAAGGTTGGTGATATAGTCAAAAGGAAGGACCTGAGCAACAGCAGAGACTGTTAAAACTGGTAAGGTTGCTAAAGCAACAAGAGCTAACCGCCACTCCAGCAGCATTCCAATAAGAACAGCAACAAAAATAGCTGAAATATCCTGGATAAATATAGAAAGCCGATTGCTGAAAGCAGCACGAACAAATGTAGCATCATTCGCTAGGCGCATGGACAAAGTGTCTGCACTGTTCTCTTCATCATCAAACCAGCCAACCTCATTTCGTAGCATCGCTGAAAGAACAGAAGGGATCAATTCATTATCAAAACATCCCATTTCCACAATGCATCAAGATACAATGCATATAAGTTTTACCAAAATTGTGACAAAAATTACTCATGTGATTTAATACAGCTATTAAAACTAACCTGAAAACATCATTCTCCTAACCCTTTCTGTCATTTTCTCCCCCATTATACCAAAGTAGAAATGTTGCAAAAAGTTGGCAACCACAGTGACAACACCCATACATGCTATAACCAAGCACCATTTATTAACCTCATAGCGTAGGTGATGACCCCTGTCCCTGTAATATGCAGCCACTATCTGGGCAAGAATGTAAGCAAGAAGGGGATTAAATGAACCAAAAATGGCAGCACCAACACTTCCTAGGAGAGCATAAAGCCACTCAGCAAAACTGAGCTCAGCAAGCCTCCATAATGAAGGAGGTTTCTGAGTTTTTGAAGCATCAGGGGTTTTCTCTTCTGTGGGCAACTCATCAGACTCCATAAGAGGTCGACTAAAAGTCTTTGAGTGAGAGCGCTCATTTTTTGGATCAGATGTTAAAAGTGGTGAAATAGGTGACTCAGGGTCGGAGGTGGTTGACGCTTGTTGTTGCACTGCATGGACATCAATTTTCGGTAGTGCAGGTAACTTCATTTCAAAGCTGTCTTGCCTTTTTATGGAGGGTACTTTTTCTAGTGCTTCTGATGGCATTCCATTTTCCAACATTTGTTCAGATGGTGGACTATGAGCTTTAGGTGATTCCAGTGAGTTGTAGCTGGTATCCATCTGCCTCACAGAATTCACACCAGGCATCCTTTGAAGTGACGGAGATTTGGCCATCTTAGGTGAAGTTGATTCTTGGAAGCTGTGGCTAGCAGATGAGTCCTTTTCAATTTGGAAAGTTGCTGTCTCCTTGTAGCTCCTTATTGGTGTTCTGAAAACAAAATGAGGAACATTACCCTTACAGAAAAATATATTCTAAGATATATAATATGCAATTGGTAGACGCATCCAAAGAAATGAACAATTTACCTTTTAGGAAGCTTCGCAGCTTCTTCATATCTAAGAAGCTCAGCATATAGGCCATCAACATGCAGTAACTCATCATGTGTACCCATTTCAACAAGTTGACCCTCTTCCATCACTGCTATGTAATCAGCATTCCGAATCAAGCTAAGTCGCCGAGCAATGATAATAGTTGATCTTCCCAACATGAGGATATCAAGAGCCTCTTGAACTGCCCTTTCTGCCTCAAAATCAAGAGCACCAGTAACTTCATCAAGAAGAAGAATAGAGGGATTTGAAAGAACTGCCCTAGCCACAGAGAGTTTGATCTTCTGCTCCTCAGACAATGCCAAACCTGCTCGACCGACCTGATATGCATTGTAACAATTAATTACCAGGAAGAAAAATGCACTGTCCAATTATCAAGGTCAACAGTTAAGATCATAGAAATGGAACAGTTCACTTTCATCAAAATATCTTACTTGAGTATCGTATCCTTTGGGAAGAGAGCTGATAAATGTATGTGCATGGGCTGTCTTTGCTGCCTCTTCAATCTGATCAAGGGTAGCCGTACGACCATAAGCAATATTATCTCTGATGCTCAAACTAAGCAAGGCAGGTTCTTGCGTAACCAGCCCTATTTGGCTTCTCAACCATTCTAATTTAAGGCTTTTGATGTTCTCCCCATCCAAAAGGACCTCTCCTGCACCAACATATCAAGACAACTGTTCGATTTAACATTGAAAGTAAACAGTCACAAAGATTAACTGAAAATTTGAGGGGCACATGTCATGCACTTAAATACCATAACTGGAACAAATCAGAAAATGGGAAATTCCTTGGCCATGATACCTAAAGTAGGGTCATAGAAACGCTCCATGAGAGGAATTATGCTGCTTTTTCCTGAACCATTCCTGCCCACCAGTGCCACAGTTTTCTTTGCAGGCACAGTTAAGTAAAATCCACTTAAGATGGGGATTTCTGGACGAGAGAGATAGCTAAAATACACATTCCGGAACTCAATGTTCCCTTGCACAGAAGATAAGATGTTCCCCTCTTGGATAATGCTAGAAGTTGAACGGCTGATCATCTCATAAAGTCTGTAAGCAGCAATCCTCCCTTGCTCGAATGAATAGAAGTTTGTAGCTGCTTGATTCAGGCCACTACAAATTCATGACGGCCAAGTACAATTTCTATCAGAGGTTAAAATTTTAAATGAAGCACAGCTATGAAGAAAACAATGACACAAACCAAAAATCAGTTCAAACGGGAAAAGAAGCTTACAGGCCACTTAAGATTACAGAAAAGAGAGCTGTAATAATTTCTCCGCCATTGGCTTTTCCATGGGAAATCAAATGCCTTCCAACCCAAAGTTGCAAGGCACATGAACATATTGCGAGCCCGTATGTAAAGCCAAGTCCAAGGCCTTGTACAAGGCTTATTAATATGCCATATCTCAGTGTTGCTTGGAGAGAAGTCGCGTATGAATATTTTGCCAGGGTCTCATTTGAGAATGCATATAAGGTCCTTATGTAAGCGATTGCCTGTAGCATATGTCAATATCTTCAGCCACCAGGCAACCATGATAATGAGCAACAGACGATCCTCAAAAAGTAACAAGACCTACTCATTTATTATGGATACACCAAAATATGGTGTTTATCAGTTGAATTCAAAGAGTAACTACAAGTCAGGGCAGAGTGAGACAAGTGCCATTTAATGGCAACAATTGTTGGACCAATTAAAAGCAATGTATCAGAAGAAAAGTTATTCCAACATTGTAAAATATTAACCGGAAGGAGGAAAAAATTGCATATATAAGGCATGTAGTTGTTTCTACATAGCTCCTACACCTAACCATCTCCAAGCATGCTTCTTTAAGCTTTCAAAAAATCCAGACTACTAAACTTCCATGGATAAAGCAGCAGAAAACAACCCAAATTCAAACCAGACAGAAGCAAGTCAGCACAGCAACACAAAATAATCATTTACAAATCAAGCACAATCACTGTAATCTTCTTAGATGTCACGATAAGAAATCATAAATAAGGAAGGCCAGAGAGGAGGAATACTAACCTGCTCTGCAATGCCAGCAGCCTCAGCATATGCATCTTGTATGTTCTCAGCTAGCCTGTGAAGAAATATGTTAGAAATTGCCCCCGCAGCAACAATAAATGGACCAGATCCTAATGTCAGGAGAGCAATTTGCCAGCTGTTAACCATCCCAATAACCAGACCACCAAAAAACGTTGCCATGTTATGAATATAGTTCCCCACCTGTAATATAAAAGGACAGTTTATTAGAAAATTCAAGCAGATTGATGGGCCATCCAAACATCCAAAAATAAATGGAAAATAAAGCAAACGGATTTTTTCAGACATACTTTCTCACTTAAAGCAGACTGAATAAGCAGCAAATCACTCAGCACTTGACTCACAATGTCCCCATTGTTTCCATATGTATCGAAAAAACTCATGTCCTGGTTTAGTAAGACTTGAACATATTTTGATCTGATGACTGCAGTTTGCCTCTCTCCAGTGAGAATCCAGCAGGAGACCTCTATCAAGCAGATACAATCAGCATCCACAGAAAATTACACATCTGAAGAACAGAAGCTAAATCTTAACGCACACAATCAACGCTCACCTATCCATCCAGCTGCGAAAACGCCTGAAGCAATGTAAATAATGTACAGAACATGCTGCAGAACAAAAGAAAAAAAATGTATTATATCTATGACATGAACAAGAAAAAGGAACTGCATAATTATTCAAAACTCAAAAACATTTTACAAAATGCTTGTCAGAGAAATCACCTCAATCAAATTTTGGGATCAATATGTGTTTGTGACACAAGAAATGGAAAAAACATATCATATAAATGGATAATGAGAAAGCGAAAGTACAACTGCATTTTAGATTCATTGATAGATTACATATATGCACATTTGATCTCTATGAAATAAGACATATCTCTCTGTTTGTCTATCAATCAATTTATCTATCTACCTATATGCATGTCCACAAACACCAATGCATCAATTCATTAATGTGTGCGTGCATCTATCAGGTTCGCTCTGGCACCCACTTTGAACTAAACAAGGAACATCAAAGTGTCAATGATTCAACTGATTCAGGAGAAGAGTAAAGAGTCAAGGGTTTATTTCAATTTACAAATATATATATAATATAAAAATAGAAAAAACTATGAAATATATGAAATTTTAAAAGAAGTACAATAGAAAATTACAATAAGATAATATTTCAACACGCAACTTCGTTACTTTTCACTCGCATCCATGGTTCATCTTCCATAAAATGCTGTAAATTATGCACTATCATGAACAATTTCACATTGCTCTTTATGACCAATATAATTTAGAGAAAAATAGACTAATATAATTAGAGAACAAAAATTAAAGAAGTTAATAACAATCATCATACAAGAATGTCAAATCAACACATGTTAAACAATCCAAGTTATTTACAGTCACAAAAATGAACAAGTCCCTGAATTTTATCTGGAAGTATTTCTCATAATATTTTAGACTAGCAATCATAATCGTGGTCCTATTCATTTTCCTGCCGTCACCATCATCATCATGATTTCCCTCCTAACTATCTCTTGTAAACTCACATGTCCGCATATTTACTTCACTTAAGCAAACCCTTTGTGACATCAATACTTTCTAAATTAATAGGTTGTGTGGTCAGCACTCACGTCAACTTTAGTTGCCTGCATTTAGACACAATTTTATGATTTACTTGTGAAACGCGTAAAGAGAAAAATTGTTCTTTGGAACATTCATTTTTATAGGAAACAAAACTTTAACAATGTAATTTTTCAAAAGATAAATTATGGTTTCTCTTGGAAAATTATCAGGAGAAAAGAAAAAAAAGAAAAAATTAAATGAAAATTTTTACTTTTTCTTTCAAAATTTAAATACGAAAGAGAAATCATTTCATCAAGTCTTAGTTGTTGAGAGGGGGAGTGTGTGCGGGAACTGGAGAGGGATCGGGAGCCTAGGATTAACCCATACCTGAAGCTTCCTGCCTTGGGAGTGCCTAGGAGCGATGTTCAGGAAGAGCGCTTGGGAGCAGCTTAATTTATTTATTTTTTGATGCTGAGGAGCAAATTGATTTATGCCTATATGTATATTGGATTGCTTACAGATCACTCGTATTAAAAAATAGAGAAATGTATACTCCTACCTTTTTAGCATTATCTACAGATGCACAATGCTCTACAGCTCGAGAGTCCCTTATTGAGAAAAATGATATTCACATGGCGATTTGCTACAATGAGAACTGCCCTGTTCTAGACAACCCCGGCAACTCCCTCTTCGGGACTATTTGGGACTGGGGAGCCCCCCAAGTCTGAGCCATCTCGGGTCAGTCCGAGTCAGTTCACTAGTTTTCAACCACTTATGCAAACCACGACCATGAAAATGGAAAACAAAAATTGCCTACACGTAGTCGTGTAGCTAGAAATTTGACAAAAAGCAAAAAAAATTCAAAGACGTCGAGTTTAAAATAAATAAAAACAAAATTTAACTTCCACTAGGATCAAGATTCCTGTAAACCATGATCGCACCGCATTTTTAGTGAGGTCGTGATTCCCTTCCAACGCAATCAAGATCACTTTTAGTCAGGGATCAAGATCCTTATAAGACATGGATCTAGATCCTTATAAGATAGGGATTGAGCTCCCTTAATTAGAGGAGAAAGCTCCAGTCAGGCTGCAGCTCCAGGATCGTCGAAGCGAGATTCCAAGTGGGATCGCCAACCCCCAACCGAGTTCCCTGCATCTATGCATCAAGTTACTCCAATAAGGGCATAAAAACTTAGATGTGCACAGTACTGGAAGAATGAGACAGAGGAGAGAGTGAGAGGACAGGGGATAGAGGGGAGGGAGAAAAGGCTGAATAGATGGAAAGGGCCAAACTGGATGGGGAACTGTCCCAATGTAAAGGTTTTGGTCACCCATTTAAGGATTGGATCAGTGAGTCTGCTAAATCAGTCACTATCCTAGGCATACTGGAAAGACATAGTTCTCCCAAAAACATAGATCTTGTATTTCATAATATCAGTGAATACCCATAGCGGAGATCCCTCTCCCTTGGCCCAATGAATCGCATATAGGTAGTCTCATTTTGCAATCAATGGGCCTGAGAAGGATTAGGAACATAGTCAAAGTTACAGTTATACTTTACCCTAATGGGGAACTCACATCTTAATAGCAATGAGGGACAATCTGGACATTAATTTTTTCCTCAATAACTTCACTAACAAATGACCTAGCAACAAACGAGATGGATGAGTTACTACAAGAAAACAAATCCATACCAGCAATTTTTTAATATTTCTTTGAAATTTGAACTATTTATACTTAATAGCATCAAGAACATGCAGTACAAAGTTTTAGTAATCGAATCCTGCAATAACAACCCCAATCAAAGGGCCATAGAAAGTCCAGAACAACTATGTGAGAGATCTCCCTTCCTATCAGTCTACAGAAACTAAATACGCAGAACTATTGCATCTAATATATCGATTTAGTAGAAATTTTGAAAACCCCTAAACCCTGCCAGTGTGTCCAATGTTTAGGCATAGAAGAAGAGGATAGAGCCTTTGATGAAAGTTCAAGTAAAGAATTTTCTTCTCCAAACTCCATAATAAGAAAGGATTAGAAGGACCAGAATCCAAATTGATAATGATACACTAATCATGATGGGAAATCTGCTCAGTCCCAGTAATTATTAGATAAAAGGAACTCAGGTAGAAAATAATAGATCCACTATAGCCAGTCCTGAGGACGGAAAAATAGATAAGGAAACATAATAGGTTGCTTAAAAGAAATCAAGAAATAAACTTCTCCCAGAAAGAACAAAAGCCATCTTCTAACAAAATTGATGATAAAATCTGGCCACTGATGCAATGATTGCGAAACAGCTGGCCACTATCACATCAAGTTTGTAATCAGTAAAGACATTTCAATCTTATTGCCAAACCCCCCTAGATATGAGTTAAAATACTTAATTTCAATCAAAGAAAAAAAACAGTAGACCCCTACATTTGTGAATCATAAATTGTATCAAATAGTCAAACACTAAAGAAAATATCTAACCTATAAAACCGATCCCCTCAAGTTTTGAGAGGGTAAGCTTTGGTCACCAAAAACCTTATTTCACAACCCCTTCAAACCCCAAAAAGATTGGGTGCAAATGCTTTTCGATTTCACAAGAAATCAAAAATTTTGAATTTTCGTTCTATCATTGGTTTCTCACAGGAACTCTGGATTTGAATGTGTTTTTGGCTTGAAATTGGTATTCCAAGGGGTTTTAGGGGTTAAAATGACCCCCCATGATTTTAATACAAAGAATTGGGGGCAAAAAGACTAGAAATGCCCCTAACCGAGGGGCATTTTCACTCCGCTCTCTGTAATTTTTCACAAGCTGCCTAGGTGTCCCATCTAGGCGGGGCACTTGGGCTTTATGCATTCTCCCGGTTCACCCGAATAGGCCTGGGTGAAGCACCCAAGGCCTCTGGCTGCCTAGGCAGTCGGGCAGGCGAATTTTCCAACATTGAATATGACCACTAAGTGTCAAACAACTAGAGCACCCTGAACTACTCGAAGAAGCCCAATATGACCCAAAGGAAGGTATAAATGAAGAAAAAACGGCCCATAATAATTACTAAATCCCGACATAGAGCACAAATCTTCTAGCACTGGAAAGTGAGTGTCGAAGATGATTGTTTGTTAGGGGCTTAAACCTTTGTATCCAATTATCAAAAAATTCATACTCCATATCTAGCAAAAGGTACTTGAACCCCAGAAGTTGGGCAACTGCTGTCTCCACCTACATTAAGTGCTCGAGCAAAGGATCTATTGTGAATCAACGAAAACAGTGCAATCTACCAATTAACCTATCTGACACCCCCAGTTACATAAAATAGACTCACATCTGCTAAAAGGATAGATAGTTCAGCAACCTGATTTTCTTAAGACCTCTTCAGAAATAAGGGTTCCACATCACTCTACCCCTCTACCCTCAATGATCTCAAAAAAACTTTGAACTAGGAACTGAGTTACCTATTTTCCCATTATTGTTCTAAAATGGTATTAAAAAACAGAATGTCCACAGAGAACATCCAACAAAAAATCTATTTCTACTCCCATCCACACAGCCATGCACCTAATGTCCTCCCTGAGAAAACTCAAAAAGGAAACAATATCCCTCCCTGAGAAAACTGAAAAGGGAAACCATATCCCTCCATGCTATCTGTGTTGTTAACCTTTCCATGCCAAAGGCTGCTATAGTGAACCAAATTGTGAATGCCATCTATGCAGCAAAGTCGTGTTCAAGAGGATCACAAACCAAAACCCCACCGATAGACTTAGAAACATCGACAACTCCAAAATAAGAAATGAAATATCATCTTCTTTTAGTATTACCTAGTCAAAGAAACTCTTCCTGGATATGCTCTAACCCATCAGCCACTCCCATTGAGATTCACAACAAGGGCAAGTAGCAAACCAGAATGTCACTATGTGTTTCCTTGATAAAAGTCATTCCGTTCATCTTCAGAAGGTATTAATTACAGGGCGTGCCCAGTCCTCACAATTAGGGGACCTAATGTCACCTCATTGGATTTCCCCAAGAATAGGTGGAACTCCAACACAAAGAATGGAAATAAAAGTTGATACGCACTCTTCCATCTAGTTTCAAACCCAGTGGGACTCATCAGGTTATCAAAAAGTGCCTAATCAACAAGGGTTTTCCCTTTCTTTTGGGTTGCACCCAGTCTACAAGATTATATTCTGTTCCCAACAGTAGTGATGTATCCTGAATTAGGAGACTAGCGACTCCCGCATGGATCTCACCCCATCAATCTGACCAATAAATAACTATCTCACTGTTCTTAAAATACCATACTTCAGCAGACTGAGACATAACGTAAACAAAAAATCAACTCCTACTCTTATTAAGAAAATCCAATTTATCAAAATTAAAATTTGGTCAAAAGGGCCACGTCCAAAAATCATTTTAATTTACAGAGCAAGGGAAGTCTTACTCAAAAGTCTTTTCATGATCGAAAAGCTCCATTTTTTTGTGTGTGTGTTCGTTTTTATCAGTCCTCTACATGAGAAAATAGCTCAATCTGAAATGAAGTTAAACTCAGAAAAAGGTCCATACCTTGTTGAACTCATGCAACAGTTCATCTGAGGGCAAGTTTTGCAACCCAAGGAGATTAACAATCTTTCCAAAGAAATGCAAGTAAACAACCAGCGCAGTTCCATGGGCAGCAGCAGCAAGAGATCCCACCACCATTAGCAACCAATCAAAGCCATCTGCAAACGCGAAGAGGCGAGAGAAAGGCACAGCAGCTGGCGGTGGCTCCATCTCCTCCGCTTCCTCCATTCCTCCCTCTTCTTCGACCTGAACTGCCTCCGCATTCGAATCGAGGTAAGGAGATGGTGACTCGGGTGGTTCCGAGACTTCCGAGACAGGGGTTAGAGGCTGGATATGAGGTGGTGACCACCCAAATAGACCCCTTGATATCATCATCTCTCTCTCTCTCTCTCT